GAGTTGGCAACATTTACATAATTTTTACTCAGAAAAATGCAAAAATATGCCAAAATACTTAATGTCGAAAAAGAAATCAATTAATGACATTTCGTTATTCATAAAGACAATCCTAGAATTCAGACAGATAGTCAGACAGATATTTTAAAGTATTTAGAATGATTATTTTATTCTCGGAAAATATGTTTCTTTGAAAATTCGAACACAATTCCATATAATACTCGTATTTCTTTCTCACTTAAGCGTAGAAAAACAAAATTTTAAATAGTGTTTCAGTGGATTTTGTATAATATAAGTCAGTTTTTTTATAGGTAACCATACTATAGTTGAATTTATGATTGAATGAAATTCCATAATTTTTTTTATTTTAACATACATAGACCGGTCGCATTGCATATATGCAGCTACCATTCACATTACGGAATACAAATATTTTTTCACATCAAATTTTATATGTTGTACTATCATAATGTCAAACAACTTAACCTTAACAAGGTGCCAACCTATATCTAGATGTATTTCAATGATATCAACTAACAAACCTTTTCAAAAAATCGGACTCCCAAAGACATTTTTAAAAATATATTTTATTATTTAAAATTAAATTATACATACTTAAAAGATTTACACCCTTTTAGTTTACAACTCTATTTCTAATTAATTTACAATGGGAGCAAATTTGTTAGTGTGTATGCAAATATCTCTAAAATAAAAATTATCGATTACATGGTGACCCCAAATTAAATTATCACCATATTAAAAATGTATTAAAAATTTTCCCTCGTACTCTTTACATATTTAAATTTGCTCTTTTCAATATTTTTAAATGTTGTTAAAACTGGTAAAATATTCACGTATCTTGACATACATAACATAATCCGTAAGTAGGTGCACTGAACATTTTTACTCTTACACATAATATTTAATATGAAAATATAAAAAAAAAAATTAAGTAAATCTTGTTATAATAATCATCATCATCACTATTACAATCATTATTAAGAATTGATAATCGTGCTTGCATTGCATTGCAACTTTATTACGAAAATTTATACAGGAACAAAAACGCAAAAAAAAATTTTTTTTTTACTACCTTTATTTTTTTCTTTGATTATTATCGCTTAATCTTCGATAAAAATTGTGGTAATATATAAATTTATCCAAAACTATGATCATATGACTAAAAAAAAATTTTTTTGAAAAATAAATTTTCAATTATACTTCAATTTTATGTACATTACAGCATCTTATATATTAAATATGGGTATGCTTATTGAATACATAACTATTATTATAACAAGCTCATATAGGTATGAAAACAAAATGCATCACATAATAAAAACACTTTTAACATTATATTTATGTAGACATGAACGAACGAACGAATGAACACTTTTAACATTAACCTCTTCCGTATACGCAATTTTCACTACATAATAACAAACGAGCTATATGTATGTAATTTAATATAAAAAGTATGCCCCCTTTTTCATACAATTGTACAATATTATAACAAGCCTGACCAACAAATTAAATACATAAAAATATGAAAACAAGTAGAAATAACAAAAGTAAACTTAAAAAGATGGTTTCAGCTTAAGTGATTAAAAATAAAAAAAAATGTTTTTTTTTAATAATAAGAAATTTAATCGTACATAAATAAAAGTTTATTAAAGTGAATAATATATTTTGATTATTCCTGACACTTTTAGGGTTCCAAAAAAATTATTCTTAAAAATTGTATGTAATTATAATAAATAGTTACATATACATAAATAGTGAAAATCTCTGATCTTAAAATTGCTCGTTTTCGGTAACTTCTGAAATCTAATCAATACAAATCATATAATTTTGAGCTAAAGCATACTGTCGCTCTTATTTCTTAATCATATTATTTTTAAAACTAAATTGGTTCTCTAATAAATCGACAATTTGTTTTCCATAAATCTCAATTTACATTGAAATTCCAGCAAATAATTTCATTATACTTTTGCATTAAACAAAAATTTAGATGATTTTGCTGTGTAGTTCTACAAGTTTCCTTGTTGAATATATTTCTTACAATACAGGTATCAATTATTTAAAGTAATTTTTGGGACCCCTATTTTAGGCGAATCTATGTAAATATATTAAACAATGTTTTGAATAGACAACTTTAGAAATTACAACATGTTTCATTATTAAGGTAAATGAATTGGTAAGTCACATTATGATACTCTCATTTCTCTCTTCAAGTATTGCCAAATTTTATAAATTGACAGCTCTAGGCATTACGAGTTTATTGTCAAGTATTTCTAATGGTATTCTTACGTAAAAATCTGTATTTATAAATATTTAATGTGAAAAGTTGAAAATAAGAAAAATATTGTTACAAATTTATTTCTCAAATCTCTAAGTAATTATAATTTAAAAATTATATTAAATATTATATAAGATACTTTATAAATAATTACAAATAGTTTATAGAATTAATGCAAATTTTATTAAAATAAAAAATATAAAAAAAAAAAAATTTAATACCCACATTATTGTTGAATTACATTAAAAATTTAATTAAATTTTTTTTTTATAATTTTTATTTTCAATAATGCAAAATTGTATTGTCGTGTTTAAAAATTACAAAGAGAATTGTTATTTATAACAAAATCATAATGATGTAAGTGTAATGGAATATGAATGTATACTATTATGAACAATGTATTATTGTAAAAGTAGGTGCATTTGCAGTTGAATACTAACATAAAAAAAAAAAATGTGCAACTTATATTCATTTTAAAATTAATTTGAAATTGTATACTGCAATTGAATATTCAATTATAACGCCACATATCAAACTGCAATTGCATATTTATTTTGTACTTATAATTCATGTTTGAAAAGTTTTCTGTTTTCGATTTCACAACTTATGAGAACTTTTCAAAGTATATGTTGTGTAATATGTTCAGGATAAAACTAAAAAATTTCGCAGAATATCTACTCTACTGCCTTTGCAGTATGACATTACAAATATTTTTAAAATTAATTTATATACACAGGTTACGATATTTGGAATAGGGTTGTTGTGACTTCTCACAATTTCAAAATAAATTCTTTGACTTTAAATCTTACATTAATGTTTATTAATAACGATAGTAGTTTTTAACAAAGTAGTTTTTCTTAAGTATATACCATTATGATTAGTGCAGGACTAAAAACTCTAAGAAATTAATTCAAATCATGCTATAACACTTTTAAAAATTATTTAAAATCGTTATCGTCATTATATTTACTTCACCTAAAACACCAGAACAAGAAATAATAGTTTTTTTTTAAATTTTATAACAAATTTTTCGAAATAAAGATTTTTACTACATACGTAAATAGGATCTTCACCTATTGTATCCTACAGTTTGTCAGCTTTAATTTTTCTTTAAAAACAAATTTTATAATTTTTTTTTACTTCTTACGCGGTAGTTATCCATTATATTCATTTTAATATAAAAAATTCATAAGTATTATACAATCAAAAGAGTGCATCAGATCAGGTGACTTCTTGTAAATGCAAGTTGTAAATAAAAAGAAGCAACATTAAATAAAAGTAAAAACAAGATAGAATGCAAAACAAATGGGTTAATTTAAACTCCACACTTATTTTATAAAAGCTGACTGTGCCTGCAGAGGTGGCGGGTACATTGTTGAATATTTTGATTAACGTTTTTTTTCTTTGTTGCTTTTTATTTGTTCCTCTTTTATGGCGCTAAAATTATGCAATTTTTTTTTTTTTAATATTTTTTTCCAACCAAATTACTTACAACAGATTACCTTACAAGTTTAATACAAAAATAAAAGAGAAAAAATTTAGTAAACACAAATTTTTAATGTAAGCATAAGAAAAATATTTTTTTTTTATTTTTAATTTATAATTTTAAAATGCAATTTTATTGAAGTGCAAATAATTTGCAGCAAAAATCAGTTTCAATACATTGAATTTTTGTTTAGATAACTTTAATTTTATGTACTCATGCATATTTTCAATATTTATGGTTTTGTTTGTGTACGATTGAAAAATGATAATTTTTATATGTAATTATTTTTAGAAATAATTTTTAAGCATTTTCCAAAAATAAGGATGACTTGTTTGAAAGAACGCTGTTTTCAATACAAAACGATCGTATCTATAGATCGTATATTACTTATAGAAAATATTCATTACACCACAGAAAAGTTGCTCAAATGGTTTATGAAGGTGACTCGAAATACTTTGGCAACTATATAAGAATCTTATATACTTGATAAGCATTTTTACTTACCACATGTAAATTGACCAAAACATTTTAACAAGAGATGAAATGAATTTGAAACTATAATTACAAACAAATTAGACTAGATTCTATGAAATTTCGATATACATATGTACCTTAAAGTCATTAATTATCGCGGTAACAAAGCGAAATATAAATTTTCTTGCCAACGAAAGCACCAAAAATTGTTAGGAATGCATATAATGTAGACATAGACAAGCTTAAAATATTTTCAATCTTATACATTTGTATATACTTCCAAACACACGTACAGAAATTCTTGGAAAAGAAAAATATTTTGTTTTGAATAATTTGATCACGTAAAACAAATAGAATCAGACGCAGAGAATCAAAGTCTAACATTTAAATATCACCTGTTTTATCTAGATATATAAATGTATAAACTTAATAGATAAAAATTTTATAAGAATTAATTTAAAATTATAAATTGTCATATCCATTATGGATCAAAATTAATTTATAATTAATAATTATGTACTTACCTACCTCGGAAATAAAATTTCTTTGAAGTTTAATCAGTACTGATTTATAAATGCTTCTTTTAATCAGAATTTCTTTAATAAGTTTTTATTGTTTAATGATTCAATAATTTTATTAATATCAGTTTGTTTTAATTAGTTTTTCAAAAAAAATGTCATTACGAAAATTATTTGATAATAAATCGATCTTATATACTAAGCAAGTACGTAAAAAAAGTCGAATCAAAAAACACTAATAACAAGCTACATTTTTAGTTTGTTTTTCCTTAAAATATGCGATTTGAATTTTATATTTTTTTTATATTTAAATGAAATGACGTTTTTTTTTTAGATGTTACTCGATTTTATTTCAAAATCAGTCTTCTCCATTTTCTTTTGAAAAAAATTTGAACCAAATTTACTTTAATTTGAATTTATTATTAGGAAATTTTTTGTTTTCATTGCAATTTAACAATTAAATATAATTTTTGTTTGTTTTTTTTTTATTGTTTTCTTATACCTTTTAGTATATGTATATGTATATTGGTAAGTAAATAGGTAATGTATAAATATTATGTTTAAAACATTTCTATTGTATATTAAATTTCCAACTTTGACGGCACATTGGACATTGTTGGCTTAATGGTTGTAAATTTAACCATGTTACTATGCAATGCATATGAAAACAATGTGAACAAACACCCCAAACTAATGGACAATCATCACCCGGTAACGAGCATTCAGGACATGAACTTTCAAATGCCATACGACATATACCGCAATAATCATCCTTTGTTATCCAGTGCCATGTTGCAATTGTCATAAAACCTTGAAAATTTTTAAAGATAATTAATTATTTAAATGAAAACATACAATATAATTATCATTGTAAGTAGCAATATATGTATTATGAACAAGTTGAAAATAAAGAATATGAAAGATATATAACATACATAAATGTAATATGTAAAAATATTAAAATGCTTAAATAAAATATGTATGTTACTGAATTATTTCCTAATGTATACAATGTGAGTTGAATAAGATGACTTAATTATAAAACTAGTTATTATTTGCTCAAATCAATTTTCTTTATTGAAGTGAAGGATATTTGAAATTTCAGAATTTTTATTAATGTAAGTAGAAGCCAATGGAAGCAACCATTATTTCTTCTTACACTAGAAGTTTTCATGCATATACAAGCACATTGTTTTCTGGAATTTAGAATTTAGAAATAGAAACAATAAATTTAAGTTAAAATTCTTTTAAATTATACAATTATTTTTGGTTTTTTATTTTTTAATTAATCAAAAAATGCACGTCTATCATGTGTCAGAAAAAGCATTAAAATTGATTTGTGTCTCTATTCAAAATTTCTTTTAAGATTATTATTACATATTTTAAAGATTTATTTTTAAATTCACGTTATAATTAATTTATTTAAATTTATATTTCATGTCCAGGATTTAGTTATTTATACAAGAAAAAAGATATTTTAAATTTTAATTCATTTTTGTTTGCTGCATTAGCTTTGATCTCATAACCTTGCATTTACACTTACTCTTAATTTTAACTTTCATTTTTTAAACACTACTCATTCATTTATTCCTTTTTCTTAATTGTTCTTGAATATTTCCGGATCGGTCATAATACAATAAATCACAATTATTATTATATTATGTTTTTTAATAAACTTAAAACTTAAGAATAGAAAATTAGTTTTTTTTTATAAACAGAAAAAAAAATACTTTTTTTCTTTTTATTTTTTTTTAAGATACAAAACGTCAAAATTGAAAATTAGATGTCAAATCTAAAAAAAAAAATACCGAGTTTGTTTAAGAATGAAAGATAGGTGTCGCTTGCAATTTAATTTTAAACCCAGCAAACAAATTTTTGAACAATTTATTTGTAAATAATAATTTAAGTATGATGTGTGGAATATTATCGGTATATCGAAATTTTAAAAATTTTCAAAAACTTTCTAAGAGTGTTTATATATAAAATCATCTACTATCCTGCTTTCTACTAGTATACCTCGATGTATGTACATAGATGTACTTTTTGAGGATAAAGACATTATCACTTTCTCTTTGTTTAAAGTTTTTAATTTCTTTTTGCTATTATTAGTTTTACTATTGTAAAGATACCTATAAGAATTGATAAAAAACTAAATACTCACTGATATGTAATTTTATCCCAACAGTATAATTTTATACCATTTTACTCCATATATAACATTTTTGACAAAACGTATTAGCTTTAACATATATTTTGACGTATATCAATTAATCAAATTATCTTAAAACTGGCCTCAAGTTGATAATTTATTAAAATTTGACTGAGCTTTTTTTTTAGTTTTCGTCTCGTGAGAACCTAATATTTCTTTATATATTCATCTGATGAATTCTAGTCAAAAAATTCTGATGCTTTTTGAATATAAAAATTCTATTGACTTTTATTTCAATTATTTTTCATTTTTCATGACTTTTTATGCTAAATAGAAGTGTAATGTGTTGTGCTACAGAAACCTTTTTACACTTGTTTGAAAATAAAACCAAGTTTTAACAAAAAATTTTAAATGTGAATCATAATTGTTGGTTTATAAATTTTTGAATTCATTTTCGTTTCTTTTTTTGTCAAAAAATCGAATTAAAATATTTTCGAAGAGAATTGAAAAAAAAAACAAACCTTTCATATTTTTGTTCATACACATTGCACATTTGGCTGTAAGTTTATTAAATGTCTAAAAAGTAAAATATGTGCATTGATATAAAAAGAAATTTTAGTACTAAATTTGTATTTTCCTTTTCTCACTGTAGTTGTCGCTTTGTTTTGGTTCTTACTCCTGCTAATTTATTATAGAGCAGAATTACAAAAAACAAAAGTCATATGTTTCTGTTTATATTTTTATATAAAAATTTGACGTTTCTTAACAAAAGAAGTTTTTTTTGTCACGTCAAAATATCAATACGACGAGAAGTTTTTATTGCGCAAGTGATTCTAATTAATTAATGAGGAAAACAAAATTTGAGGGTCGACGAGTTTTTTCTTTCTTTTTGCACAAATAGCAATACGTCAATTATTTAGAAATAATTATATTTGAATTTAATAAATAAACCAGAAATTAAAAAACTAGTCGAAAAAACGGAAAGGTGACGAAACAACTACAAAACAATGGGAAACGCAGGTAGCAGCAATTTGACAGCACGAGAAAGACAAAAATCTGGTGGTATGTACATATTAATTAAAGAAATACTATAATATACAATGATTCTTGAAAAACGCACAAAACTTATTAGAACTTAGCTTGGCTAAAATTCTAAACATGATTCAATAACAATTTTATTTCTTAATCAACTATTGCTAGGTTAACATTAAGTTTAATAAAATCTTTAAAAGATGTTTACAAAGATAACTTCATTCGAATTGATTGGCTTCACGTGCATAGAAGAATTGAGTTATTATTCACAGCATATTTACATATAGATATCTACATAAATTATATATTTCACTTTTTGTTTTGCTATTCATTTTATTTATTTTGATTTTGTTTTCTTTTTTTTTTGTCATAAATTTCAGATATGACAGGTAGTGCACCCATTTCACCAAATCAGCGACATAGCGTTGGTGCTAATGCAGCAGCCGAAGGCCAAGCATTTGTTTTTGATTCTAAAAAACCACCAGACACGCGCGGTATTATTCAACAAATATCACAGGACGACGACGAAACATATTATACGACAAAATCTAATATAATGACAGATTCAGAATTTAATGGAGTTTCGGCACGTCCAAGATCGAATACAGTATCAGAAGGTGCTTCACGGACAAACTCCTCTGAATCTGAAAATGCAGCAAACGCTGAAGGCGATAAAAAACCAGCCTTACCTACTGTATTTAAATGGGATGGTGGTGGTAAACAGGTTTACATTAGTGGCACATTTTCAAACTGGAAAGCATTACCGATGGTAAGAAGTCATGGAGATTTTGTTACAATTATTGATTTACCAGAAGGTGATCACCAGTATAAGTTTTATGTTGATGGTGAATGGAGACATGACCCAAAATTAGTAAGTTTTATAATCAAATTTTAATAGTTTTCTACTTTGGTTAAAAATCAATAACTTCAATGAAAATTTTTACGTCACTGCGTAAAACTATTTCATAATGTTAATGTATTTTTTTTTTTAATTTTTTAGAAAAATATTGAGAATGAAGCTGGCACTAAAAATAATTTAGTTTCAGTACGCCAATCTGATTTTGAGGTATTTCAAGCTTTAGCCAAAGATAGTGAAGACGCAGCTAATCAAGCACAAAAAGAATATTCACAAGATATACCACAAATTAAGCCATGGGAAAAAATTTCGGGGCCACCAGTTTTACCACCACATTTGTTACAAGTTATTTTAAATAAAGACACTCCGCTATCGGTAAAATAAATTAAAAAAAATGAAACAACTATAATTGCAATAAGCCCATATTATGTTTGAACTTTCTTTAATTTCATACCTATATTTTTTTTATTTTTAGTGTGAACCAACTTTGTTACCCGAGCCAAATCACGTAATGTTAAATCATTTGTACGCTCTTTCAATTAAAGATGGTGTAATGGTGCTAAGTGCAACACATCGTTATAGAAAGAAATATGTTACAACATTGTTATATAAACCGATTTAAAGTGAAAACTAAAAAAAATTAATTAGGAATGAATCACCATGATAATTATTGATTATTCATTTAACACGGTTTTATTATTTTCTTTCGATTTAGCAAGTAAGATTACCAAAACTATTTTTATATGCATTGCGCTATTTTAGAAATCAATTTAGAATTGGACATGTGCTTTGTTTTTATCTTATATTTTCAAATAAACGTATTTAGAGAAAACGTCGAAGGATGTGAATAAGGATTAAAAAAAACGTAAAATTTATGTTATTTTTTTTTTTTAATTGGAAAATTTTACAATTCTTTTTAGTATAGGAAATTTTTGGGCGTTAATTTTTGACATTAATTAAAATATTGTTTATTAGTAAAACTTTACAATATTTAAATTAAAGTATCTTGTAATATTAAAATTCATAAAAAAAGAAAACGCTTTTTAGATATTCATTAACAAAACAAAAATAAAAATTCAAAAACCAATTTATATTTTCTATATATTAATTATTAATGAAAATAAAATACATAAAATTAAAACAAATTTCGTTTTTTCCAATACATACTGTAATAAATAATAAAAAATAAGGGAATTCATTCAATCATCAAGTGAATCAATATGTGTACTTAAAAAATGAATAAACGTTTTCAAACTTAACAGCATAAGATATAGGAGATTAATAAGGATTACCTCAACTTCTAAACTTACAAAAATATACAATCTTTATGCAGATTCATATCTTCTTATGAAACATATGTTTGTTAGAATAACTTTAAATACAATATGTATTATTATTTTATATATTATCATTACGTTAAAAAAATTATGAGGAAACACAAAATTATAATTGAATGTACCAAATGTTTGCATTATTGCCAAATTTTAAATAATAAGAATATTCTTCTTAAAATAAAAAAACTGTTCTGAACAATGCAATCCTTTATTTATTCTTTCGACATAATTTATAATGTAGTTCCTAAATTAGGCCACATAACATTATTTATATATATATAAGTATACAATGAAATGAACCATATTATAAATTTAATGCTATATATATGTATCGTATATTATTTAAAATTAAAAATGATGTTGAAATAATGGGGTCAATATAAAATAAATTAAAATTATATATGTACAGAATTCTTAGGAAATCCCCAAATACAAGCACTAGTTTTGTTTTAATAAAAAAATATAAAAAATATTCTTATAAATATCTGTAGAAAAATATTTGGCGGTAATTATAATATAATTTCTGTTTGTATTTAATTTCGAGACAATTATCTTAAAAATGTATAGTTTATCACATTTCAAGTTTTCTTTTTGAATATTCTTAAAACTCTCTTTTTATTTAAAATTAATTTATTTATATTTTGTTCTGTGTTTTTTTAGTTTATTATAACGCATTCAATTAAAATTTCTATGGTTTAAAAGGTCCAATAATCCCCACATAAAAAAAAAAACATTTTTATTTTCTTTGGGACAGATGTAATAATTATTTTCTCATAACTGCAAGGGAGTCAGAAATACGAAACAAAATCAAATGAATTAACTGCATATATTAAATTGTGTAAAACTGGTATGAATTAGAATTTGAACAGTCGTATAAAGTTATATGAAATAATATAATATACATTTGGAATAAAAAAATACTGAGAGAAACAATATTTAAAGGAAAAAATCATTGATTTGGTTTGTACGTATTCATTTAGAATTAATTTGGATTGGCGTGGAAAACAGATGCACCTGCATCTTCATTTAACATTACCAGTATTCTTATTCCAATATTAGTAGATTCTTATCTAATATTATGTTGGTGCAAATAACTGAAATAAATTGAAGTTTATTTTGTTTACCAATCATCTTTTGCCACTATTTCATGGTATCTACAATAAATATAAGAGTGAAAAATTTCATATTAATTATCCTACATTTTTTTTTTTTGTCTGCAATAAATTTACAAGGAAGTGAATTTTACTGCGGGATAAGATCATACAATTAGCATAACATAGAAACAACCATCAAAATTCCCTCTAAATATTAAATAAGTTAAATTGTATGCACTATGTGATGATGATGAGAATCTTTTGTTTTCGTTTCATCTTTAACAGTCAATAAATTTTCAAAATTAAAAAAAAAAATATTTCTAATTTAGATCTTTGGAGACACAATTTTCAAAAGGAACAATAAAAACAAGAATTATAATGTTATAAATATTTTATATATATATATGTGTGTATATGTACATATTTTAATTGGAAATGAAACCAATTAAATATGATTCTTAAACATCATGCGGAACACCCTAACTGAAAAAAATTTGGGCGGTCTATTCACAACCATAATATTTTGTGGTGTTATAGTACTTTTATTTAATATATTTGTTTCTTTGAAATGTTTTAACGATCTGTGAACTATAGGGTACACTTGTTTGTAAAACCAAGTTGTTCATTTGCTATTAAAAACGTATGCAATAATAATTAATTAGAATTTATGCGAAAAATTTTTATTTTGATTTGTAGAAATTGTATAATATTGCATTTATGTTTTGTTCTTTTTAAAAAAATTTATTAATCTAATATAAAGTTTACATAAACAAATTTGATTAGATTTAATGAAATAAGAATTTGAATTTACTTTGTGTGCATATGGAGCTGCATTTAGAGGAAGGAATTATGCTAATAATTAATTGCAGTTTAAAACTTTTTTGATGAATTGACACCAGTACTGCAAATTATGATTTGCATGATTCAAAATCAAATGATATAGTTGTCCTCAAAATACCTATGTTAATATGTATATATCCTCTCCTAAAATTATAAATAACATGTTCAAATTCCTTAATATATGTATACAATGGTAAATTTGTATATATTACAAATTTGTATATATTACAAATTTACCATTGCATAATTAATTTGCCATTGTATTATGGCAAATTAATTTTAATTTTATAATTAATTTACCATTGTATTTGTATATATTACAAATTTACCATTGTATATATACCATTGTCTCCTCCCATGTCCAAAATTCCTAAAATATATACAATAGTAAATTTATATTTATAATACCGATTTCCTTGTTTTGTGTACCATTTGACATCATCCAGTTTAATAACATCAACTCAAATTTTTAATATTGTAAGATCTAAAAGATTTCGAATACACAGTATTTTTGTTTGTAATTTAATTTGTCACAATACAAGAGTCATAAATAGTTTTTAAGTTAAAGAAAACGTAAATAATAATAATAGAAAAAATAAAATATTGTCGCATGCCACTTAAAATACATGAAAAACTCTTTATTACAGCGGCTGATGATCTTCATTGACAGGCCGACAACACTATAGCTATTTATTTTTAATTGAATTCTTAAAAAAATGTCCTCCCCTAAATTATTGTGAGAATATTTTAAAGATTTTAAATGTTTTTAAGTAAATAATTAGTGTTATATTTTTGGAAATTTAAAATATTATTTTTTATTTTATCTTATTTAGTTTTATTTTAATGTTCTCTTCGTCTGGTGTAATATATTTACATACGAGTATATTAAATTTTATTGTATGTATATATTTTGTTGATAGTACACACATTTAAAATGGAAATAGACCTGCTTGTAGTTTTATATACTGAAGTTGGATAAAAAGAAAATTAGGCGGTAAAATTTTAATATATTGCACTCATCTACATTTTGTAGGTATGTATGTGCATTTGTAATGTGGCGCTGCATTTGTATATTTGTTATGTTGCAAGAAGAAGTAAAAATCATGAAAATTAGGACCGAATTCGAATATTTTAGAATTCGTTATTCAGTTTCAAATTTTAATTTTTTTTTTTAGATTCCTCAGACTACTTAGTATTTTATGAGCATATAATGTAACATTTTGAGTTTAATCTAAAATAATTGCTTTTAGTATTTCTGATTTTACGATTTTAAATTCGATTGACATGAAATACATGAATAGTGTAGAAATAATTAAAATTTTCCCATTTTACAAAAGTGGGAATAATTTTTTGTACTGGAACAAATAAAAACTTTAATATTATAAAAAAAATAAAAATTTGATTGAAATTTTCCTGAATTTTCTCTAAAACTGTATCGTCGCACTGTAGAATTTCCAGCCATTGTGGGAAATTTCAAAAATTTGACAAAAAATCTATTAAGTATGAGTATATATATATTCTCTATTAGTGTGAAATATCAGAGAAATATACATATGTATGTATATACGCAAACTGTTATACATTTACCGTTATTTTTTTTAACAACAATAAAAAAAATGAATATACTGCGACTATATTTTTTACATAATACACACAAATATTTTTATTATCCTTACATTTCATTCGTACCGAAACTATAACAAAATAAATATGTACAAACATTAAAATAAATATAGAATTTCATCTTATATAAGAACATCATTATAAATTATTATTTTGTAAACTTCAAAGAAGATTAAAATTGTCAAATAATAATAATTTGATGATATTTTCTAGTATAGTCAGATAATGATAATTTCTGTATATGTTTTGAATATATATGTATGTATCTATATATATTGTTCATTTCACACTTTCTTCGCTATTATGCTTGCACACATTCTAGAGCGTATATTTAAATATACATTTGTTATCTTATGTTTTTTATACTTACATACAATATTTTTACATTTCGAATATTGCTGATTGTTAGCTGCCCTTTTCGAAATACTGAATGATGATCATTTATAAACCAAAGTATAAAAATAATATAATATATAGGGAAGCATATAATATTTTCGTGTATATATATGTAAATAAGTATATACTATGCATATATTTATAGCAAACAATTACAAGCTACTTAATAATAGCCTAGCTATCAAAATGATGAAGAATGACGAAAAAGAAAAATTGAGAGGCAAAGGCAAGATGCTAATTTTTTTTTTTTAATATATATGAAATACGAAATTTATATTGCATCTTCTTGAGTAGTTCCCTTTTATATATCAGTTCATTTTAAGACGTCCTATAGTTCAGAAGTTCTTTTCAGAATTAAAATTCTTAGTTTTTTTTTTTTGTTATCTTATATTCGGTTTTTAATTTAAAATAATTTAAAAGAAATATTATACTTCTCATTAAATTAAATTTGGGTCCAAAGAGAAAAAAAACATAGAAATTAAATATCTAAAATAAAAAATAAAAATTAATTAATAAAATTAATTTAGTATTAAAATATTAATTTATTTTTAATAAAATTTTAAAAATTTACTGAATGTCTTCATAAAAATTAATAAAAAAATTAAAATGTTCTCAAAATTATTATTAATTTTAATATTAACCGTTTACGGTATTGTTGAAAATCGTTTTGTCGTTAACGGTCAAAATTATTTTTTGGATAGTGAACATCATGATGAATTCTATAGTTATTTTAATGAAAATTTTACAAATGTTTTACCAATTGGTGATAGCAATTATCAATTAATACAATTAAAAATACCAATACATTTTTATAGTGAGAAATATGATCACATATATGTAAGATAATATTTTTTATGCACAAAAATAATTAAATAATATTTACCATTATATATATATATATATATATATATCTACATATTATTATTGCAGTTGTTATTGTTATATATTGTACAAATATTTAAAAATATATGCAGGAACGTTGTTAATCTGCATTATTGTAAGTTTTAAAATTTATTAAGCCGCATTTAAGTACTATTAATACTATTAGTACTTAAATACGGCACAAAACGTCAGTAAATAGAGAAGCTATAGAAAACGGTGATTCTAATACAACAGTCCCGCCCATTTGCTGAAATTCTAACAAAACCAAATAGAAATATAAAAAATGAACTGAAAACAAAAATTCTATGCTTCCAAGAGAATTTAATTGCTTGCAATCACACACACACTTAAATTAAAAATGAATACAAGTACATTTTTTTTTTCAAAAATCTACTCCAATTTAAATATCCAAAATTTATTCTTAAACAGTTAGTTGAACAAACTTAATTAAAATTGTAATCTCGCTTTATCTCAAATAGTTGAGATTAAGATGGCAGTAAATTTACATTTATACAACACGTACATGTACTTGCATAACAGTAACAATAGATATTGAAGACCAATTCTATTCACTGCTTCAAATTACACTCTTTGATATAATATGAAAAGCTATTTGTTTCTCTAAATGAGTAAGTACTGTAAACCCGAGAAAGATTTATGACATCTTTAAAAATTGTATGAGGTATTTTGAAAGAGCAGGAACACAGCCAGAATTAAAAACATGTGCGACAACTTAACATGTGCCAAAAAAAAAAATTGTTTTTAAAAAGAAAGACTTTGATTTCAAACATTTTCTACGTATAAACGGGAACTTTTAAAGGTCATATTAAATAGGTAGGAAAAAATAAAGGCCGAATTTCTAATTATTGCAAAATTTATTACGTTCGCCTTATTGATAGTTAACATTTCTTAAAACAACAACAAAAAAAAACAAGTAATATTAACAAAATAAAGGTTAAACTCTTTTTTAATAAGAAGCACTACTGCACATTTAAATGGTTTTTTGAAGAAATATTTCAATTAAATTGGAATTTCGAACTGTAGCTACTTCAAACCATAAAGTTTAAATGAAAAATTGTATTACAACCTTCTTTAGAAATTTTTCCTACAATATGAATGAATTATTTTCTGGAATCTAAAATTAATTTTCAAAAATAACTTGAAAACAAATTTTAAGCCAAAGATTCATTTTTAAGTAATTATGTATGTATGTATGGAAATGTACTTAATATATATAACATACTATTAATATATACATACATACATATAAAATTTATTATATATCCCATTAATATTTAAATATTAAATTTTTTATATGTAAAAAAAAAATATTTAAGAAAAAATCCTATAAATTTTATATTTTAAAGATTTATGAGTGAACAGGTGTTAAAAAAAAAATCAATTTTTTGCTTAGATTGAATAAAATTTATTTATATATTATAGAGAACCTTGACCAACATCATAAAAAAATTTCTAAGAATAATAAAAATTATTTATAAAACACACGTTCGGGCAAATTAGATTTTAAATAAATTTTCTTTTGTATACTCGTACAGCACAGTATTTAGTCACATATGATTTTCCAAATTATTGCAGGAATTTCATGCTTTATTCTTGTCGCATATTTTCACATTATTATATACATATATTTGTATTAATAAAATAAAAAATTATAAATGTCAAAATGACAATCGAGCCAATTTTTTAATTAATTAGATTTTAAATTAGAATTAAAATGCCGGATATTTTTTTTTTATTGAATTTTTTGAAAAATATTTTCTTTATGCATTTTACATACTCGTATTATATTAAAGAGCTCTACAGGGTTGAGTTATTGGAAATGTTAATGTAAGATAGTAAAATAAAAAAAAATGGGATTATAAAAAAATAATGGGGGTAATTGTATGTTTCAAATAGTATAATTGCATGCAGCATCTCAATGTAAACAATATTTAGTAATTATGTGGATTACAGTATAAAGCAATGTGAAGAACATTTCGTCAGCAATTCCTTCATACCTCTGTAGTTCAGTTGGTAGAGCGTCCGCCTTGAAAACGGTGGGCTACTGGTTCGAGTCCAATCCGAGGAGAAAATTTTTTTAATTTTTTTGCCTTAAATTCGTTCCTTTGATTATGTCATCCATCTGTTCTGCAGTTGTATTAAGAAATTTCCATTAAGTTGTTGTCTGCAGTTGTATTAAGAAATTTCCATTAAGTTAATATTATTAGTGTAATAAGCACATTATTTATTAATTAAACAACTACACATTGTATTAAATTCAAATAATGGAGTTTATTTTTGAATATCGTACCACTAAAGTGAGTGGTACGCTTTCAATATTTCGATATTGTTATTGTAAACACAAACCAATTTATGCAATTGATTTGAATCTATAATAAAGTTTTTAATTATTTTCCGGTAAAATATTATTATCCCTTATAGTGATTCTCTTCTCATAATAAGTCCCAATATTATTAATGAAACAATAAAAATTTTGCCTATTATAGAATTCTGCCAAATAATGCAAATTTAATTCTTAAACTTGAAAACCATATGGTTAAAAAATTTTATATTTTAATATATTGTGTTCATATAGACTTAATCTGATTAATAAATTCGATGTGGCATACATACGTACATACATATATAGTGTGAGTTTATCTTAAAATTAATTTATCAATTTCTATTTTGTTTTTCTGTTTTTTTATTCGTTCATGCAATTTAATCAATCTGAAATATTCGCAAAAATGTCCAACTTTACAACGAATTCAATGAATTTTCATTCTTTTGTTTTTGGTTCCTGTACAATAGTTTATGCTACAAAATTGATATTTTTGTCCTGATTTTAAATTTCCCATCATAATATTCATCGTAATGGTATATACTTAGGTACATAGCTACAGTTTGTATATACAATATACGGATACATTCATAAATACGACAATAAGTCGTATATATATGAGATAAATAAGGTCAACAAGCTGTTATCAATTAAATATTTTCTGATTCATTCTTTGTTCACAAAAATTTGTATACGGTGATTTTAATTTCTTTTCAAAAAAAAAAAAAAAAAAAAAACAATTTTTTTATTTTTTTTAACTATACGCATATTTTATTTTCCATTTTTCAAAAGCAATCAATTTTAAGTTTTTTTCGTGTTAAAAGCTATTTGTTCAATAATTCCAAAAAAAAACAAGAGCGATGAAAAGTTAATATTATTTCGATCTAATTTAATGTTCCGGATTATTTTCAACAATAAAATTCTTTAATTACATTATATTAAAGTGATGATATACAATATAATCACATTTATTGTTAAAAGCATATTAAAGGATTAAATTCATTGTCTTTAACTTGTATTCAGATTGTTTATTATTTATTCAAAAATAGGGTGTTCTTCTACTCGCGGACATAAAAGAAAATTTCATTTTCATTGTTTAAGAACTCTAATCAATATGAGAATTTTGCATTCTTCTCAATATACTGTTCTAGATAACATAATTTCCGTCTCACCTTGGTTCAAAATAAAAAAATAAAAAAATTATTGAGTAATAAAAGAAAATGTGAAAGTTTATGCATGTTTGTGCTTCTGTATAGGTACAGGACATGCGTTTACCTATTATGGTATACAAAATATTCTCGATTAAAAGTGAACAAGCTTATGACTCCATATAGGTTTACGGAATACGATTGTGATGCAATCAGGAAAAATTTGAAAAATTAATGCTAAAAACATTTACTTTTTTAATGTCAAAATTCGATGTTGATTTTTAAAAATTTTAAAAAACAAAATATTGCTGTCGAGAATTAAAAATTACTTTGTGAAATTATTCAGGATTTTAATGATAACTTATCGTATATATTTTCTAAGATTTACCACTGCCTTTACTAAAGGTAACGGAGGTCACAAGTACAGGAACTCACCCTATATGTATAAAATAATAAATTATAATTTTAAAAATGAAATTAAAATTGTTTTATAATTGTATTTCATAATTCAGTTAATATACATCGTAAGCAAATGTTTCGGAATGAAACCAAAATCTGAAATTTACATTTTATATAGTCTTAAGCTGGCAATTCATTATATTTTCTTCGCCACAATTAAAACTTCATCCAGCTTTAAATCACATTTAAATTATTTTATATAATGTGTATGTATATGAAAAGTGTCATCTCGAACATCTGTAAATGATGTTAATTTCCATGTAAAATTTTAAATTTGTCCTAAACATCTAGTTAACGATCTTAATATGATAAAAATGAATTCCAATAAAATGATATAAACTAAAATATCTGAAGAATAATTTCTGTGGCAAATGTGGTTTCAGAGCTGGCTTGGGAATTAGAGAAGTGCTTCTTGGGCCCCAGGTTTTGGTTTATAATTGTCGCGATGTTTATAAACACATATTTTTTTTGTTGATTGTAAGAAAGCTTTCGATCGCGTTAAGCATGAAAAATTAATGGAAATTTTGAACAAAGTAAACATAGATCAAAAGGAAATTCAGTGCATTAAGAACTTAAATTGGCACCAAAAGGCTCTGGTGGTTTCTAGGAATTTTTCCACCATAGAAATTAAAATCACGAGGGTCATACGGTAGAAGGCATACTATCACCTTTACTATAGAGTTAGTAACATGGAAGTTTTGAGCAGAATAAATAGTGACCGTCAGCTGTTATTAACAATTAAAAGTAGAAAGACAGCATACTTAGGTCATCTAATCCGTAACAAAAAATATCATATTCTGCAATTAATCCTGCAAGGTAAAATGCATGGCAAAAGGCGGGTTGGACGAAAGCAAATGTCGTGGCTGCGAAATATCAGACAATGGACTGGCATACAAACAATCGGGCAACTAGTACACACCACACAGAATAAGGAGAGCTTTCCGCATATAATCGCAAACATCCAGTAGTGAATAAGCAGACAAAGAAGAAGAAGTGCGGCACCATTTAAAAATCCCTTAATTTTTTTTTTTTTTGCAAACTTTATATGGGAGAGGTACAATTCATTTCAAATTAACACTACTGGATCAGGGTCGAACTATAAGTTTCTCACTATATAAAATTCTTTTTCAGTTTCTATCAAACTCCGGCACACTTAAGATGATTAACACTCAAAAAAATTTTACACAATACTCGTATGTTAAAAATTTAATCGTCGGAATATAAACCTCACAATTGCATCGTCGATTGAATTTTTAGGAATTTTATAGTTGTTTTATTATGGGAAATTATTTCGATTGGAAGAAAAATTATTCAAGTTACTTGAAAAGTTTATAATTTAAATATTAAAATTTATATAAGATATGTATGTGTAAGAATGGCCATTTCTTTTAATGCTATCCCAAACTAATTTCTTTGGAGGTTTTTGAAATTTTCTTTGGCAATTTTAAAAAATTTTAAAAAATTTCTTTTTACATGAAAAGTCTCTTATACTCTCGGCAATCGGATTTCATTTTACATTGTACATTTTAAAGTTTTCAAGAAATGCAATGGGAAAAATCATCTCAACTTGATTCGGATTAAATAATTGATGTATCGCTCATGTAACATTTTCCTTAAATTCAGTTTAAAGTCTACGTCAAAAGCACATTTTATTACTAGCTTTAAATTTTTATGATTACTAGGTAGCTATATATTTCGTTTACCTTTTGTATGCTAATTACAGCTAATAATTGCTGTGCTAGCATTTAATTGACAGAAATATTTTAGTACTGTCACTTTGCCATATTATGTACACTTACATATTTATGACAATTAAGTCACTACATATGACATTGAGATTATGTGGATGAATTATAGGACAATTTAATGTGACACTCTGATACAAAATTGTAATTAATAAAATTTAAAATATTTTCAGTTAGATTTCAGATTAATATTCAATCGTGTCACATGAGTTTAAAGTCAATGCTTTTTATAATGCTTTTTATTTTCTATTTTCAATCTTGTCACTATTTAATTTTTTTAATTCAAAAGTCATTCAACTTTCAAATTAATTATAGAGGAAAAGAACAATAATAAAATTAGCCCGCAAAGTTACAATTATTATTAATTTGTGTATTTTTTGTATTTCTTTAATTAAACTTTTATTTTCTACATATACATACAAACACACAAATATGAAATATATTTCTTTATAATTTCAATGTCAATGCCATTTTTGACTGATTAAAACAAAAAATGTTTGTATATTATTTTAATTTTACATTATGCGTATGTTTGTATGTTTGTATATAAGGTTGTAATATCGTTATCAAAGAATAACAGCTATTAAACTCTTGAATGAATTAAAAATATTCTAAAAATGAAAATTTTTACTTTAAATATTTTTTAATAATGACCTTTTTAATTGAACTTTCAGAAGTAAAAATGACAAGAAAAGAAACCATATTGAAATGTTTTGAATGAATGTTACAGATTAAAATACTTTAAGAATTATTTAATAAATTACTTAAAATTAACAAAAAGAATTAAGACGTTATTAACCCTTTATTTTTAAAAAAACAATTAGAAACTTATTTGAAATATTTGAAATTATTAGCAATGATTTTGTAGAAAACATTAACCCTTGGCTTGTTGTTAGAAAATGAAATCAAAGCATTCCTAATAAATTATTTTTCTTATTCTTCAGCCTTCGACCAATATATTTGACATAAATTTTAGTAGTTCTCATAATATCGAAATGTTCAATTGTATTTTCAGATTATTTAAATTTATTTGCCTCTTATATAATAGATTGAATGTTAATTACAATGTTTTGTAATCTTTAAAATTAATTCTTTTAAATTAAATTTAAATACTTGCAATTTGTCCATTCGGCCTTAGTTGTGCCAATTTTTTTCAAATGAATCATCAGGAGATAACTTCCAGTATACTCCCACCAATAACTTCAAGTCTAGACAACCAAGTGTGATACACCCTCTCGACCACAAAGGAGATATAAATTTTCTGGAGTGATACAGGCCCGGGTAATTGTCTTTATGATAGACCCTGACCCGTTCCTTCCAATAATTTAAGGCGTACAGAATCATTGTCCTTAGCAAAGTAGGGCTCCTACCCAATGAAAGGAGTTGTGGCTTCCCTCCAGGCGGAACTAACAGCTCTCTCATTCCCATTTATACCGTAATGTTCACATTCGGTATAGACCGTCACTCACATTAAAATTACTTTGTTATACCTGGCAATTTGAAACCCACTAATGTTAAAATTATAATCGGAAATTTCATCTTTTCAGCAAAAATATTTGAAAATAAAAAATATATGAAGCGTTTCTATATACAATCATTGATTCGTATATTAAAGGACCTACTAAAATATAATATTTTTACATAGAATCATTGCATCTTAATTACATATTAAACAATCTTTAACTAAAGTTAATGCATGTACCTTATTACACAGAATAATCTTAAAACTGAAATACGAGTAATACTCGTACTTGTAATACAATTCAGATTAGGTAAAACAGGAAAAGATTTTTGCAATTTATTCGAAAGCTTATAAAGTAATTGAATTAGGAAAATTGTTTTATTCTGCTACAATATAAAAATATGTATATGTATTTATATATAGGTATATTTTATTTATTTAAAAAATACTCTGATTTTAGATGAAAAATATTTTCTACATAGAAGGTGCCTCTACCTTTGTCTGTTACACAGTTCTCTCTGCGCTATATTTTTTTTTAGATTTTAAACAACTTTTCTTTATTATTTATTTTAAAATAAATTTAATGTAATAAATAATCTTTTCTATATACTTTAATATTTGAAAACAAAATTGTTTATTATTTATTCACAATTGTAAAAAATATGAAATACAGTAATAACAGCGGTTATTGACATAACAGTGCGATTAAATGCAACTTCTTGTCGAATTTCTCATGGAACAGTCAATGTGATGTTGCGGTGTTGTCTTTGTTCCTGATTTTTAATGAGCTTTATTAAAAAGATTTTCCGACTAATTTTTACGAAAACAACGCGATTTTTAAGAAAATAGCCACATTTCATATTATCAGTTATTAGTAAGGTATTTTCAAGGCACCATACAATGTGATTACTGTGTAGTTCAAAACTCCCCTATTATCGTAAATTTTCTAGTTCATTTAAATAAATGTCATTTTTTTATTAGTCTTTAATACTTTAATAATCTCATATCGTGAATACTTTTTGTATTGCAACTATCATCATAAAATATCACCGTCTCATGAACGAAATTTTAATATTTTTTCAAAAAATATGGAACTCTAAATATTCTAGAAGAAACACCTCGCATAAATATTTTACATATTTCTTGCAAAGCCTTCTATTGAACTTACAGACATTTCTAATATCTTTCATTATTATGATAATAAATTAATTTTTCAATAAAGCAACATCTGACATTTTTTTTATGACAAAATCAAATAAATTTTAAGTTTTTCCATAATTTAGTTAAAGAATAGTTGAGTATACATTTTTATTTTTAAATTACAGATTAATACGAATGGCATTCTCACATTTTTAACAGAATTTCCGGAATTTTTAAATCAACCATTCCCCCTGGAATACCCGTCTATATCACCATTTTATTCAAATATTGATACGACTGGAGCAAATTCATCCTCTATTATTGTATTCTTTAGTACACAAGATGAAGATAAATTACAAAAAGCATCTGATTTAGTACGTTATGCATTTGCTGATAGTGAAGATTTCGAAGCTAGTATATTGTATGTTGCAACATGGGAAAATGTTGGATACTACAACGCAAAACAAGATAAACAAAATAGTTTTCAGGTTTTTAATATAGAAGAAAGCGTTTTTTGGAAAAAAAAAATTAATGTTTTTTTGCATAATTTTAGGCAGTCATCATATGCAATAATGATGAAACTTATGTGCAGTTTATTTATAAAAAAAATGGTCTTAATTGGTTACAAGGTGATATTGGTGAACTTGGTATATCAGATATTAGAGCACAATCTGGTTTTATATCAGAAGACGGAAGATATTTTACAATAATGGGATCTGGAACAGAAAAAGTATTTTTTTGTTTTTATTTTGTTCAAAAAAATTTATTTAAAAATTTAATTTTAATTTTAGGCCAGATATTTTAGTTCTCAAAGTAATATTGGTGTACCTGGTGTTTGGATATATCGAGTTGGTAAATTGGAATACGATGATAATGTCGAGGAACCAAATAATGTGGAAATTCAAGAGCTTGAACAACCCGAAGCTTCTTCATGTTCTGATGGTCTTTATAAAAAATGTCACACAAAAGCTCAATGTGTTGATAATTCAAGGGGATTTTGTTGTAAATGTAATGATGGTTTTTATGGCAATGGTTTCTCATGTATAGATCGTAAGGTACCAATTCGTGTAACTGGTTCAATATCCGGTACAATAAATGATCAAGTAATAGATGAAAGAGCCAAAATTCAAGCATATATTGTCATGTCTGATGGTAGAAGTTATACAGCTATAACACCAATTGATCCAGAAATTGGTCATCAATTAAAATTAGTCCTGCCGTTAGGTATAAATAATTTTTTTTTATTTTTATTTAAAATATTAAAAAATAACAAAGCAAAAAAATTTTAGGTCTTGCAATTTCATGGTTATTTGCTAAACCTGTTGGTGCTGGACTCAATGGTTATCATTTGACTGGAGGTGTATTAACACATTATTCAACGTTACTATTTAAAGAGACTGGAGAAAAATTTTATGTTAATCAAACATTTGAAGGACTCAATTATTGGGATCAATTATCAGTTAAAATAGAAGTATCTGGACGATTACCGCTAATAGAAGATGGCCCAAAATTGCAATTAAGCGATTTTATTGAAGAATATGAATTTATTTCAGAAAATAAATTACGATCAGTTAGTGATCAGGCAATAGAATTACCATCACATGATGAAATAATTGAATATCGTTTAGAACAAATGATTGTATTTAAGAGATGTGTGTCAGATGATGATTTAATGGATTCTCGTAAAACAATTGCACAAAAAAATTCAAAAGTTACTCTTGATTATGGTATTAATGAACAAGCTATAAGAATGTCTATATTGTCTAAGGTTGGTGTTGATCCATCTGGAAATCCTTGTTTAGATGGAACATCAATTTGTGGTTATAACACAATTTGTAAACCAACCGGCTTAGATACTTACGAATGTGGATGTGAAAATGGATATGTTCTAGATATTGCAAGTAATGAAATCCAACATTGTGTAGATATTGATGAATGCAGGTCTGGTTATCATATTTGTGATGAGAATGCAGAATGTGAAAATAATGGCGGCGGTTATACTTGTAAATGTTTTGATGGTTATGAAGGTAATGGATATGAATGCAAACCAATTATGGATGATCATAGTACATCAAAAAATCCTGAAATTACGTATGACGAAAGACCGATATTACATGCAAATAATAATAATTACAGTAGTACCAGTCATATGGATTGGAATAGAAGTAATGAAGAACATGAACGTGAACATGAACATGATCGCCAACATGAACATGATCGCCAGCATGAACATGAATATGAACATGAGCATGAACATGAAGATGAAAATACACATCAACACAAACATAGACATGAACATGAACACGATCATAATAAATGGAACGATGGAAATAATGAATATAATAATTGGCATATGACAACCCAATTGATTAATGCTTTGGAAGATCCATGTGAAGTAAATACTAAAGTTTAAAAATTGTTCTGCAAAATTGTACCATTAGTTTTCTTGCTTTTTTTAGAAATGCTCACCAAATGCTATTTGTGTCAATGGTCATTGTCATTGTAGAGAAGGTTTCGTTGGTGATGGTATTTTTTGCACTTCTTGTAGATTAGATGAACATTGGGTTGATGGCCGTTGTATACCATCATATCAAGCAACAGAGGTACAACCACTTTGTGACGAAAGAGAAGAATGCACTTGTCCAGATGGGTACGAATTTATATATGAAGAAAGTGCCTGTCGATTTGTTGGTTATGTTCAAGCAATAGAATTTCCAGATGACCAAGGTACACAAAATTCCCTTTAATACTAAAATAATATTATATGAATGATACATCATTTTTGTAGTTTCATGTGAAATCGATTATCACTGCCATCAGAACGCTACTTGTGAATGGTCAGAAGCTGTTGGAAAACATATTTGCATTTGTTCTAGAGGATTTATAGGCGATGGTCTAACTTGTATTAAAACGGAAATTACTTGTACTACGGTACTTTTTACAAAAATAAATTTTTCAATTCTTAATTTTCTGAACATAATTATTGATTAGTGATAAAATTAACAATATTTTGAAAATTTTTAGCAACCATCAATTTGCCATGAATATGCTACTTGTGAATATGATCAAGAACTAGGAAAATCAGAATGTATGTGCCTCAAAGGTTATATGGGTGATGGTTATCATTGTGAAATAGCACCCGAATGTATGGAAAATTTTGAATGTTCTGAAAATGCATATTGTGATCAAGGTGTATGTGTTTGTCAAAGTGGTTTTGAACGTGATCTAGCCGATCATTGTGTTCCAACTGGTACTTGCGGATTGGCAAGATGTTCTGAAAATGCTATTTGTAAATTAGAGCCACAACAACATATTCAATATTGCGAATGTTTGCCTGGTTATGCTGGCGATGGTTTAACATGTGAAAGCATTCCACCACCGTGTAATATTAGAAATAGCTGTGGTTTACATGCTTCATGCATTCGATTGCATAAGTAAGTTATTAATGGCAATGTTAATGTTTACTAATTGTAAAAAGTTTAAATTGTGTAAATTGTAACTTTTAGGGATAATCCAAATTATGAATGTGTTTGTGATCCAGGTTTCAATGGTGATGGAATTTTATGTATTGAGGAGCCGAATTGCAGAAATACACCGACATTATGTGATCCTAAAGCAGTTTGCGAATCAACAGAAATGGGTTTAATGTGTGTTTGCCCAGATGGTAATTTGTAGATTATTTTGATGAACTATAAATAGTGCATGTAACTTTAAAATTGAGTTCCTTTCAAAAATTATTTCATATACTTACTGAAATTTCTCAAGAGTATTACTTACTGAATTTCTCAAATCAAAAAATTTTCTGATATCTAGTCATAATTTTAATATAGACTTAGTAACATAAAAAATTTTATTTACGGTACCCCTTTTCAAGTTTCATAATTTTTAATTTCATTTTAGGTTTCTTAGGAAATGGAACATTTTGTAAGGAAATTGCTCCACATGAATTTGGTTTTCTTCTAATTAGTCAAGGATTAGTAATTATTCGGATTCCATTTAATAGTAAACTCGGTAAACCAATATCGTTGGCGTCGATGGCAATTGGTTTAGATAAAGATTGTGTTGAAGGTCGTGTATATTGGGGAGATATTGCAGCTAAAAAAATAATGAGTGTCAAATATGATGGAACAGAGAGTAAAGAATTTATAACTGAAAGTATGAATTTTATAAAATATTTCTTAGTTATTAGAAAAATTTTCTTAAATTAATTCTTTATTTTCATCCATTTAATATAGACTTAGAATCACCTGAAGGTATTGCAATTGATTGGATTGCTAGACGTTTATATTGGACTGATTCTGGTAAAGATACAATTGAGGTAGCTAATATAGATAATCCACAAGAAAGAGTTGTAATCATTAAAAAACATTTAGTTAATCCACGTGGTATTGCCGTAGATCCATTTAAACAGTATGTATTAATATTTATGACAATGAATTACCCATTATTTTTAATTTCTGTGCAAAAAAAATTAATTATATTATAGAAAATTATATTGGTCTGATTGGAATCGTGATTCACCAAAAATTGAAATGTCAAATTTAGATGGTACTGAAAGGCGAACAATTGCTACAAAACCTGAATTAATATTACCAAATTCATTGGTTGTTATACCAAATACGGATGAATTATGTTATGCTGATGCTGGTTCACATAAAATAGAATGTTTAGATTTGGGAAATGAAAATTCAAGAACAGTTGCTAGTAATTTATCATATCCATTCGGTTTAGCAAATACTGATGAAAGTTTCTATTGGACTGATTGGACAACGTAATTTAATTTTAAAAATTACTTCTTTAAAAATTCAATTTAATAAAAATTTTATTTTGATATTTTTAGAAAACAAATTGAAAGTGTTGATATACATGGTAATAGAAAACAAGGTTTAAGAATTCCAGTATTCGGTAGTCATAAAATGTTTGGTATGACAGCTGTTGATAATTATTGTCCACGCGGTTATAATCCATGTCAAATTAATAATGGTGGATGTACAGATAATAGAATTTGTTTACCAAATAATCGATCACCATCGGGTAAAAGTTGTAAATGTACCAAATTATCGAAAGATTGTGATTTCGATGATATGCATCATCATTTATAAAACATGAAATGGAAAAAAGGATTCTAAAAATACAAAGGATAATAAGGAAATGATCAAATATTTTTATTTTTAATATTAAGTCTTTAGTTTTAAAATTATTGTTTTTTTTTATTGTAGCTGTATGTATATTTTAAAAAAAAAAAAGAAATCTTATATTATTTGTAGACTCTAAGGCTAGCGTACTTGAAAAAGAAAAACTAAATTTTTTTTTAATTTAAAATTTAAAATTAATAAAATAATTAATCAGGAATATTTTAAGGAAATGAAATTTTTTTGTAAACTATTAATTAAGTTTTTAATTTCTTTTTAATAATTGCATATTAAAATTTAAGTAATTTTTGTATAAAAAAAAAAAAAGGAAACCAAATCATAATTAATATGAAAGAAAATTGTTTAATTCTTGTTTAACATTTTGTGGTGTGCTTAAAAAATAAAATAATAATTTTAAATCTAAAAATTTAGATAAAAATTAATTTGTATGTTATTTTTGATCCTCTCCATGTTAAACAAAGAACAAAATATTTTTGCTCGGTTCCATAAATCTAAAATAATAATGCAAACAGCAAAACTTTCAAGAATTCACATTGATTGCTGTTAAAAAGCAATTTCAATTGTTGTTTTAAATGACTTGTCTAACTACAAAGAAAGCAAATGGGAAAAATCAAGTAATGTCACTCAAATAATGTCACTCAAAAATAATCAATTCAAAAGAGAGAACGCAACATAAAGTTGGCACTTTCGTTACTTTTCATATAATATAACTTGTTTACTTTTAAAACTTAAAAAACAAAATAAAAAATGAGCATATACCAAGATCAACGAACGTAAAAAAACTTTTCTTGGTGCGTGCATAAATTTTAGTTTACAAGACACAAAACTTAAATGACATGATGCTTGAAATTAGTATTGAATTTAGGCATTTTTATTTCTATAATAGGGGGTTTTCGTTTATTCAGTTGTAGAATAGTTTTAGCTTGTAGTACGTTCGAAAATTCACGCTAAATCATTCGGAAATTACTGGCTGCAATAAAGTGCGTTCAGAAATTCAATCTGCAATAAAGAAATGTTAGAAATGTGACGCAGTCCTATAGTATAAATTTTGTCACAGCCTCATGAAATTTTTGTTTTAAATTTAAAATGCAAAAAAAATTTTAAATTTAAAAATGGCAGAATTATATAGATGTTGAAGAGTTATTAAAGTAAGTTTTATTTAAGTCTTCAAATCTTTCATAAATAATTTCACTTCTGTTATTTTCGAACGACTGATTATTTAGAAGTTTCAGAATTTGTAGACTGCGTAAACAAAAAAAAACTTAGTTAAAGTTTTTGCATACTGTTTAACGCTGCGACCTAGAAATTTTAGTTCTAATGTAAAACTTTCAGCGCAGCGGGCATAAACAAAAACCTCCTATTTCTAAATTCGTGTTTCTAACTTACAACTTAAATTAGTTAGAGAACATACAAACCCGCTTGCAAAAACTACAAATTTATGCTGCTGTCAAAACAAGGGTTTTCAGTTGTGAAAGATTTTTAGATTGTCATATTAAGTTTTTTAAAGTTTCAAACATGAAACCACAAAATTAATTACATATTTTATTATTTCCCATTCACTGAAATACAAATTTAATTTTTTTATTCTAATAAATCCTGTAAATCTGACATTATTTTACAAAATAGTTCTTAAAAATCGTATATCTTAAAAATCTTAACATGCAGTTGTAGTTATAAAACAAACTGCAAAAATTTTACTGTATTATCAAACATAATGTTTTTTTGACAGCACGTGCAGTACTTCATTGTCATATATAGGACACATTTAGAACTTAGAAATAAATTATAAAAAACGCAATTTTAAATTGTTTTAATGCGCTCATAACTTCATTTTCCAATTCTTATTCAATATTTGTCATGATTTTCCAAAGAAAACGTAGAATTTTCACAAATTATTTCATCTGCAAATTTTTATAATTTTCCAAAATTTAAAAATTTTTAAAAATTTTTATAGGTATTAAAATAGTAATTTAATTATATTTAATATTATAATTTAAAAAAAAAAATATTTTCCTATATTTTGTTTTTCATTCAAAAATCTATTTAAAATTTTATTTATCAACAGTGTTATTTTATATTATAAGAATTAAAATAATTTTAAAATGTCTAATAAACAATATTGAGTAATTATAACTTAATCTTATAGATTTAAGAATGATTTAAATTTAATACTCACATTTCATTCTTACGATCACTTTTAATCCTAACTAAATATAATATTTTAGATTCTACAGATTTAATAACAAATTATTCATTAATGTCAACTTCTGTGAGATGCCGACACTTCCCCAGAACGCAATTTGCAAAAGTTATGAATTCTAAAGCATTTCTAATTGCAATGATTGAAATTTTTTTTGTCTTATTTTTGCATTCGCTTTTGTGCATTTACTGAATTTGTCAAAAATTTTTTTAAAAATAAGTGATATAGAAAACAGGTAAGGAAAATATGGTTCTTATTTATAAATTATAAATAAATAGTGAATTTTTTTAATTAATTTCTTGTAGTGAAAATTTCTTTTCAAAATTTAAAAATATTAACAATTTTAAAATAACAAAACGTCAATTGAGAAGAATTGCATTAATTGCATATGACTGCCATTTCCAAAATTTATATAATTGACATGATCGTCAGATTGATGAAGTTCTAGGAAAGTGCCATATATAATGCTAATTCGAATACATATATGTATATGTAAAAATATTTACAATTTTTATGAGATCTTAATTTTACTGAAATCTTATGATACATTTTAATTAAATTCTACGACCATATTCTTATATATTTTAATTTACATATATACTGTAAGCTGTGATTTAAATTTCAAATTTTAATTACTAACTCTTATATTGCTGTTATTGTTCTTGAACAATTTTCCATAATTTTTTTCGTAACGTTCACATTTCTCATAATAAATTTATTATTGAAAGTTCTTCCATAATAATTTTAAATTGCCTTAAATAAATTAATATAAATACAAAATAAAATAAAAAATTTAATTTTAAATATTGAATCGTTATAGTTGAAAGCCATCACCACATTGAGTGTACTTCAACATGTGCCGGGTTTCTAAATATCACCAGAGCACCTGATGAAGTACAATAGACATGGGATGCTTTTGAAGTAAAAAATCATTAATATTAAAATATTAAAAAGATGCAACATAAAAAAATTAAAATAGTAAACTAAAAAATTTAACACTTTTAATATTAATTTTAAAATTCTAAATTCACTCAATTGTTGATAAAAAATTAACTCTTCGCGCGCTACTTCAGGTACCTGACTATTATAAAAAATAAAGCCCCGGCCCCTGTTTAGCGCGCTAAGAATCAATTAAACTATATGATTTATGAACATGATTAGCAATATTCTTAACTGCTTTTTAATCATAATTAAAAGATGATAAAGCATCTCATAACTAATATTTTAATTTTCACTTTGTTTGATTACAAATTTCTGGATATTCTGGATATAATATGGCTCTGTCGTAAAATTAAAGAATAATTTTAATTTCTTCATTGAAGGAAAGCATTCCTAACCTAAAATGTGTAAATATTATTTAATATTTTTTTTTGTTTTTTAATATTCAATTATGCTTTGTTATCGCATAAAATCTTCCATTCTCTTGTAAATTATTTTTTAGTTTCTCTCATTAAATCCAGAAATTCAGGCGGTTATTTGCATAGTTTTTGATCTATTATCTCTGTTCAGTGATAAATGCATGAAAGTGAACCTAAAAAAAATAAATTTAATTTTAGAATTAATTAATTTATAATAATTAAAAAATTTTTACAGCACATACAATTCAAAAGTTTCACCAACTTTATTTTAAACAAATTCACCTGATTTTCTGTTTCAATTAAAACAGATAATTGTAAAAAAAATTTTATTTTTAAATTTTTTTTTAATGAAAAATTTTATAAAAATTTTCCTTTCATTTAGAATTTTAACCGATCTACACACAATTTTATTTATATACCCATAACAATATTCTTGAATAGACCGTATATATATATATATATATATTAAAGATAGGAGAGAATAAAGGTTATTTTTAGAATGAACATGAACAACAATCATTACCAACACCTACATCCTACGCCATTTATTTATTCGCCTCAATTTTTGTTTTTTCTTTTTTTATTTAATTTTCTCTGTCGCATATTTGTCTTTTTCTTTTTTTGTTCTCTTTATAAATAAGTGTACGTGTAATCTATTTGGATTTATTAGTATTCTTAGAAATCTCAGAGGCGTCAATATAATTTCAGAAAATATATTACATATATTTCATATATACGTATATGTATATATATAAATGTACATTAAATAAATATAATAATATTTATATAAGATGAATGCACGCACATAAAAATGTTTTAATACGTAAATGAACTTTAAATTGAAAATATATAATAATATTTTATTTTTAAACAGAAACTATATGCTTCTATATAAAATAATCTAAGATGATTCTGATGAAATTTAATAGATCAATAAATGAAGTAATTTAATATAATTAATAATTGATGCACATACAATAATATATAAGATACTCGTAAAATGTAGAAATATTTTAAATATAGAATATTTGTATAACATTTATTTAGAATGGAATAGTACGAATTAAGTAGTACTTGTCGAGGGTATTCATAAATTGGACAAATCTAGAAATGCATTAACTGATAGAAATCAATATTAGATTCCAGAAAAAAATTTTGAATTTTTAGAATTCTTAATTTTGCATTCTTTAACTTTCGAATTTTTGAAACTTTGTGATTATAAAATGTTATTCATTATACCATTTTTTTAAATAAATTTTATCCTAAAAATATGCAATTTTTAAAAAAAAATTAAAATTCATGTATACTTATTCGCTAACCATTCTAATCTACATTTACATCTTTCTTCCCGCCCCCTATTTTTTTTTTTTACAATTTAAGTAGAATATTATAGATGCGTCATTATTGGTTAACAATGCAAATTTTCAATATA